GAATGCCTCTATATAAAGCCATGGTACGCCCACACCTTGAATACTGCAGGCAGTTCTGGTCATGCCAGCTCAAAAATATATATTAGAATTTGAAAAAAAAAACCCAGAAAAGGGTAACAAAAATGATTAGGGGTGTGGAACAGCTTCCATACAAGGAGAGAGTAAAAAGACAGGGGCTGGTCAGCTTAGAAAAGAAACAACTAAGGGGAGAGATGACAGAGATTTATCAAATCATGACTGGTGTGGGGAAAGTGACTAGGGAAATGTTATTTACCCCTTCACGTAACACAAGAACTATGGCTCACCCAATGAGATTAATAGGCAGCAGGTTGAAAACAAACAGAAGGAAGTACTTCTTCATGCAACGCCCAGTCAACTTGTGGACAGAGGCGGATTAAGCTTTTGTGGGGCCCTGAGCCAGAGCAAGTGGGGGCCACTCCCCACCCCTTCTGCCTGCAGTCCCTCCGCCACCGTGCTCCTGCTGGGGAAATGGGGTCGGAGCGTGGGGGGCTTCCCCCATCCGCCCGGCGATCCTGCCAGGGAGTGGGGGAAGCCTCCGTGCCCCGACCCTGTTCCCCGGCAGGAGCGCTGGGTGAGTGGAGTAGGTCGGGCCATGGGGGTGCCCATTTTTCTAGGGCCCCCCAATTGACCGGGGCCCCTGGGCACAGGCCCTGTTGGCCCAGTGGCTAATCCACCCCTGCTTGTGGAACTCATTGCCAGGGGATGTTGTGAAGGCCAAAAGTATAATTGGGTTTAAAAAAAAGAATTAGATAAGTTCATTGAGGAAGATCCATCAATGGCTATTAACCAAGATAGCCAGAGACACAACCCCTTGCTCTGGGTGTTTCTAAACCTCTGACTGCCAGAAGCTGGGACCGGGCGACAGGGGATGGATCGCTTGATAAATTACCCTGTTCTGTTCATTCCCTCTGAAGCCCGTGGCACTGACCACTCTCAGAAGACAGGATGCTGGGCTAGATGGACCATTGGTCTGACCCAATATGGCCGCTCTTATGTCTTATGTTCTTCAGTCATTATTGGAACTAGGTAGAAACTTTCTAGCTCTTGATTCTTTGAGTCTGATGCTCACTTACACGAAGAACTCCTCTGCACGGCTCTGGTAGCATAAAGGGGCCTCTGAGTAGGCGGACATAGCCAGAGAGGTGTAAGAGCCTGAGTGTGAAGCCTTTTTCTTTCTTCTTTAATGCAGATAGGTTTGATTATTGAGTATCGTCTCCCCCAGTGATAACTTTTCTTAGTGGCCTTTCCAGATTGTCCTTGAATTAATTCCAGAGGACGCCCTCCTGTTGATGCGTGTAACGTATGTAATTCACCCTCTCGAATGTTTGTTTAAAATATTTCCCCTAGACGTTATTTATAGAAGGGTCAGACGAAGCCGCGCCAATGTCCTTTGGTTTGAAAAGGCCATTTTTGACTTTTCTCTAATGGGCTTTTAAAAACCTGTAATAAAACATCGCTGCCTTCTGTGTGGCGATTTCTCCCCCCTCCCCCCCCCCCCCCCCCGCTCCTCCCAGCCTTTGATTTCTAAGAAGGCTGTGGGTCCTTTCTGCTCGAAACATAGTCTGGGCAGAGATGCTACGGAGGGGAAGGATGGTCCAGTGGTTATGGCCTATTGGAGACAGTGAGAGCTTGATCTAACCCAAAGCTATCTATACTTGTAATGCAGGGAGTGCCAGACTGGCTCAGAACCAGGGTCCATCTGACACCGTGTCCCATCCCCACCATCTGCTTCAGAGAATGGTACACTAGCCTCTGCAGTGATGGGATAATCTGCACCCAGGGGATGTTTTCCTCCTGACCCCATCAATTCGAGGTTGGTTTTGTGCCCTGAAGCATGAGGGTTTACAGCCTTTGGAGCCTTTTTAAATCCCTGTTATCATACCCTTGGATATTCTTTTGTGTCCTATCACTGTCCCATCACTCTGGAGTTCAGGCTGCTTGACATCTTGCTAAATTAGGTCCTAATAGAACAGCCCAAGGCCTATATTGGCCGATAATTGTTCTTTGGTGGGCTCTGTGTGTGTTATCATTTCTGTGGCTCTCAGTCCAGCCAGTACCTAGTAGCACAGTAGGTCTGAATTACTGCCAGAGAAGACACCAGTGACGCATCGTCCAAGTCTGTGGAACTGGCCATGGGAGCAGCTGGGTCCGACGTCGGCTGAGTACAGGGGTTGCAGTTGATTGCACGGACGAAGCAATCTGTTGGTGTTATGGAATGCAGATAGTCCTGCATCTGCTGACTTGCATCCTCCGCTTGGCAAAGGTTTTGCACTGAATCCAACTACTACACTGTTCTCTCTTCTCTTCTCTCTGGGTTCTTGTACCGCCCCTCCGCACCATCCTATCCCAGCCCCTTCCAGTTGCGCATTAAACAACAGGGCTAACATTGGTCTTGGGTCGTTCATTCTCTCATCCTCACACCACCGGGAGAGTTTTGTGTGCGTGGTGGGGTGATTTATTTTGGTAGGGTCTCTTTTTTTGGAATGCACTGCTGTGTGTTTATATTAGAAAAGGCAGGTCAGAGACGCGCACTGTGCACTTGGATCAGCCCTCATCCCATGACTTGAGGTTCTTAGAGATATGCAGGGTGACCCCGGGCACGTACGGGATGGGCCACCGGGTGATCCCGGGCCTGGTCTTGTGCACAGCAGACAAGATCTCTGAATCTCCCTTGGCTAAAACGGCTTCTCTGTTACCGTGCATCTCCCCTGCATCTCCCCCAGACATCCCTGGGCTTCCTGGCTCAGGACACCTGTGTTCCGGCTGCCCTACCGGCCAGTGCCCGAATCGTGCTCTGGGGAGGTTTTTTAAGCCGTCTTCAAGCGCTCAGGAGACGGAGAATAACAGATAAACAAACAATTAGGCTATTGTGGCTCCCGGCTGACAACAGGCACGAGGGGTGGAAGATTGCTGCGTTCAGCTTGATTGTTCCCAGTGGAGCCTGCCCCTGGCAGCAGTTGCTGAACAGATGGATAATAAGATGATGACTTCCTAATGGGATACGCTCGGTACAGAGAAAAGTGTTTGCAAACCCCACATTGTTCCCCTATTAGGAACCCAAAATGGAGGCCCCGGGCTGTCAGTTTTGCAGCCCCCAGAGGCGATGGATTCAGCCTGAGCTGCAGCGCTGCAGCATCATTGGGAGCGGTAGCGTGGCCTTGTGGTTACAGCGCTAGACGGGGACCTGGGTGCTCTTGATTTTGTTTAGCGGAGTGAAATGTGCATGGTTTAGTGGGTAGGGGACTCAGGACATCTGGGTTCTATTCCTGACCTGCGCGGTGACCTTGGGCAAAGCACATCCCGCCTCTGTGCCTCAGTTTCCCCGCCCACCTTTGATCAACTTAGCTTGTAAGCTTTTCAGGACAGGATCTGTCTCTCGCTCTCTGTCTGGGCAGAGCCTAGCACAATGGGCCCTGATCTCGGCAGGGCTTTCTAGATGCTATAATAATATTTCTTTTTTTAGTGTCTGTATCACTGTCCCACTCAATGGGGCTGGCTAATCGGGCTCTGTCGTCTGCGTAATGGGACACCTGGCCCAGCAGTTGACGACACCACTCATCGTTATATGCTCAGCACTGAACCCTGTAACCAATGCATTGAATGAAAGGTCCCCAAATCGGGTGACCAGACAGCAAATGTGAAAAATCGGGATGGAGGTGGGGGGTAATAGGAGCCTATATAAGAAAAAGACCCAAAAATTGGGACTGTCCCTATAAAATCAGGACATCTGGTCACCCTAGGCCTCGCTACGGTCCAGGTTCAATAAAGCATCCGCATGCAAGATTCGGGAATGACACTTACACGCTTGCTTCAAGTTAAGCGCCCCTGGAATAACTCTCGCTCCCTGAATCTGCATCACCGGCCCTGGCTCCTTTACATTCTTTCCACCAAGGTAACATGTAACAGTCGCGGTTGGGCTCGATTTTTCCCGAGACACGTGCCCCATCCCACTAGGTGGGACCATCTGTCTCCGCCGCCGGTGGCTGGCGAACAGACAGCTCGGCTGCCCAAATGCGCAGAGCCCCGGGGCACTCCAGCAAGAAGAAGAAAACCTGGACTGAATTCAGCAATCATCAGTTTTAATTATAACGCCAGCTCCACCAAAAAAATAAAATAAAATAAAAAAGTGGTGGGGTTTTTGTTTTGTTTTGTTTTGTTTCCAAAGAGAAATCCACAATCCACAGCAAAATATCTTTACAAAGGAGAAGGGGGAAATTAAAAAACGAAAGGAGACAGGGTGGGGGGGAATATACACTTTCATGTTCAAGGGGAGAACAGAAGAATTCAGGATATAATATAGGTTTATTTTATTTATAAATAGTCCATGCCTCAGGCCTTTTATTCCAACGGGATTGGTAAACTTTACCCCTCCCCATCCCACCACACACACCCACACACGCACACACACGGGCAATGAGATTGCAGGCTCGGCTTTGTGTGTGTCTTACCAAGCCATAATCCCCCCCCCCCCTTTTTTTTTTGACAACCCTCCTGCCCCCACCAAAAAGGGAGAGAGCAATTTGTCGCATGATCAAGGCCACTCCGGTAATGAGTCCTCAGTTCTCAGCTGCCGGATACCAAATGCTGATACAGTCAAAAGCCAGAGACAGGCTCGCGTGGGCTCAGCTGCCCAGCCGTCAGATTCGGTACGCGCAGGCTGCCGGGCAGCGGCAAGACGTTGAGCGCTTGGAAGTCCCACGGGTAGGGTGCAGATTGTCCCTGGTTTGCAGAGTCCCCTCGCAGGCCGGGGTAAGAGGAAGGTCCAGATTTTTCCGTGCGTACAGATCAAACAGAAGCAAACGGGTACAGGTAGCTGCATGATTAAATGTGGTTATGTCTGTGTCACGCTGGTAGATTAGATCGGGGCTGGGAGGGGGGGGGCAAGTGGGAATTCCTGCCCCATTGGGAATGGAACAGGAAGGGCCTTTTGAGAATCGATCCCCTCGAGAATCAGTTCCACTCCCCTTTGTTCTCTGGAGTCCAGATGCTGGGCCTCACGCCCCACGCCCCAGCGCCGTGGGACCATCAACCCCCGCCCTCCAACATGCCGGCGGTGAGTCCTGCCCATTCCTCCAAAGCAGGGAGGGGTCACAGCGATCCTTCCTGCTCCGGACGGAATCCAGGGGCGCATCTCCGCTGCCCCGGAACCCCGAGCTCCTCCTGCCGCCCTCCTCACTGCATGGGGATGTAGGGCCAGTTGAAGCTAGATCCCGACAGCAGCATGTCCCGGATTAAGGTCTCGATGGGCGTCTTGCCCACCAGGCGGACGAAGAAGAGCTGCTCGATGACGGGCGCGGAGACGATGCGCAGGGAGGGCATGCGGAGCAGCAGCCGGCCGAAGCGGCTGGGCTGGTTGGGGTACTGGTTCCGGACGTACTCCTCCAGGGCGCACTGCGACTTTTCCTGGATGCTCTCCACGGGGCCCAGATCCGAGAGGCCCACTGCGTCTGCAAGGAGAGCAAGGGAGGAGGCGGGTGAGGGAACACGGTGCAGCATGTCCATACAGTTCTGCAGGGCATGGTCAGGGTTAATCTGTGGAACTCCCTGCCGCAGGTCACAGTTGGGGCTAACTTGTAGGACTCCTTGGCACAGTAAAGGTTAACCTGTGGGTCTCCCTGGCACAGCCAATTAACCTGCCGGACTCCCTGGCAATGGGGATCAAATCAATGACCAGAAGCTTGTTAGGCACATTACAGGCTGATCAAACAGACACGGTGCTTCCCTCCAAGGAGTTCCCAACCCAGTTAGGCACATGATGCAACAAGTGAGTAACAAACAACAGAGAGGGACTGGATGTGGAGAGACAAGAGACCCTGGGAAACTGAGGCACTGATCAGTCAATTGACTGTCACAAGATCACAGGTGGAAATAGAACCCAGAGAGGCCTGAATCTCAGTGCCCCTTGTTCTAGCCACTTGACTGTCCTCCCTCCCAGGAGCCCTGCCTCCCACTCCCCAATTTTAGCTGCACGCTTGTTTTGGTACATGAGCGGGTTTTACAGTTTGTATAATTCCTGAACCAAGCCACTAGCCACCTGGGCTCGTTAGAGTTCCGTGACCTTCGGCCGAGTAAGGGAGTTTGCGTCAGAGTCCTGTTGAAACTGCAATAGGCTACATAATGCCCTGCCCAAAAGTCCCGCCCCCCAGCATCAGCGGGATACCAGCGCTAAATGAAAACTCTTTGGGAGCATAAAAGTGGCCATTTTTGCAATAACGAAATCCATGGCTAGAGACTCTCAGCTTTTCTTTCTCTGTGGCACGTTTTTACCAAAATCATTCTCAAAAGCCGGATTTTTTCATAAAGGAAAATCTTCAATCATGATTTCAATTGTTAAACAATCCTGGGAAAAGAAATGGGTCTGTTTCGAACCCGGCCCAAAGGAAACAACTGGCACTTCGGTTCGACGTTTTCAACCCGCTGTGCTACATACGCTAGTTTTCCCTTCCAGGCCTAAAATGTGGGCGGCGTTTTTGTGCGCTGTTCCAAAGCTGCCGCGTCCCACCCCAGCAGTGGCTGCATCGTAGCAGCGATTGCCGCTGTTTCCCCAGGGCTTTTCAAGACCCTTTGGGATAGAAGGTGCCGATAAACATCTCCGTGAGCAAAGAGAAGCGAGCGTTCCGTTCCTCGCCCTTTCAAACCCTTTCGCCCAGTGCAGTCTTGTCCCCAATCCCCAGGAGGCTAGATTCACAAACTCCTCCCTGCCTTGCCCTCTACCCAGCGGCCTATTCTCTATAGAGCAACGCTCACCCCCGGGCTCCTTCCAAACACATCTCTCCAGCCCCAGCCATTCATCCTCGAAGTGGGAGCGGTTCCCCTAGGGCCCGGTGTGCGAGGAGCCGGGTGAAGGTCGGTGTTTCCCAGCCTGCAATAAAGGCCCAGCCGAGTTTGCTCAATTCACGGCCTGAATTGAGGCAAAGGAGAAGGGGCTCCTTTCACAGCCCTGAATGAGCTCTCGCCATTCAGTCGGGGGCCGTGACCACCATTGATAGCTCTGAAAGGGGGCTCGGAGCTAACACATTCACACCCGCAGCCTTTCAAACGCGGCCCAGCTATTACACAGACAGTTAGCCCGGGCTGAAAGAATGGCTCCAACGCCGCCAACAATAGCTGGCTCCTAAAAACTCTCATCATGCCACCCTTCCTCCAAAGGCCACCAAGGGGCTGGGCCGCTGGGGTGCCCCTGGGAGGTGCAATGGGGGAGAGGGGACGGGCTGGTCGTGCCTCACTCCCTTGGCTGCCCTAGGGGTGTCTTGCAAAAACCTCCCCAGTGTGGCGGCTTCGTTGTTATTATGGCAGGTCCTAGAGATCCCAGCTGAGATCAGGGCCCCGCGGTGCTGGGCACTGCACATCCAGCCTCTGCTCTGCAGGGCTTAATCTCCATAGACAAGACCGACCAAACGTGGGAGCGGAAGCAGAGGCATAGAGACCCCTCCCCCAACTGAGATCGTGGCCCCATCATGCCAGGTGCTGTACATACACGTAGCAAGAGACAGACCCTATCCCCAAGAACTTGTCAGCGAAATTGACCAAACAGACAAAGAGTGGTTGGGGAAACTGAGGCAGAGAGGGGCGATGTGACTTACCCAAGATCACACAGCAGGTCAGTGTCAGAGCCAGGAATACAAGCTAGGTCTCATGAGAGCCCCGCCAGACCTTAGCCACTAGTCCACGCTGCCTCCCTCTTACTGGGGTGAGCAACCGGGTTACTCATGCCGTTTGGCTCTGCCGATGCGCCTTAGTCCTGTTCCGCGTCCCGCCCTGCTTCCCCCCAGAGCTCTGCTAATGGCCCTTAGTGCTTCTGCTATTCCAGGCCTAGGACCCCCCCTCCCCACAGTTCTGCCCATGCACCTCACTCCTGACCCACACCCCATCCTGCTCTGCCAGTCATGATGCCCGATGCCCCTCAATTGCAACGTGCAGCCCCCCTGCTATTCCAGCCCTAGTCCCCCGCAGCTTGGCTGATGCCCCTCAATCCTGACCTGCTTGCTCTCCGACTCTAGCACAGAGACAGTCGGTCCGATGGACTGGCAGCAACGGGTTTACAAAGGGGGGGGGAGCAGGAACCGCTGTGATCCCCAAGCTTGCCGGCCCCGAGATGTAAAAAAATTAATAAATCTGAGGCTCTTTTTTAATTTCCCTTCCGCTGGGAGTGACGTTTTCAAGCTTGTCTGTGCTCCCACAAGGGCTAGAAACTTGGGGTTTTGGTAATTGAAAGCTGAGATTTACACATCGTCACATGACTCCAGGAGCGGGGGCTTTAAAAACCCAGATGACATAGCAGGAGACTCGTGATAAAACCACAAGAGCTAGCAGCACTGGGGGAGACCTCATTGTGTGTGTGTCGGGGAGGGGGGTGTCCCAGAAAATGAATCCCACACTAGGACTTGCTTGACAGTGGAAATGTATTTGGGGGGGGAAATGGGGAAGCCTGGGAAATTTCCCTTCTATAAACCTGTCCGCTTGCTGGCTCTAAATGGTCAAGGGAATTCGCTTGAGTGGAGTAAGACCGGCTGGCTCAGGGGATGGAGAAAGGGGTACATGCAGCCTGGCCCAGATGGGGTTGAGTCCAAATGTCACTGGTCAGTGGCCTGGAAACTGAGCTCTCTTCTCAGCTCGTCTGCCGGTCAGGGCTGGCAGCGTGCCGGGGCAGAGGGCGATGTACAGCTGCTGCGGTAGCTTGCCCTGCTGCACGCATTGCCTCGACCGGAAAAAGGGGTTGATTCTCCGTGGGCCCTGCGTGCTGCTATCTAACGGGCTGGCACTTGGCCCTAAGGTGATCAGACAGCAAATGTGAAAAATCGGGATGGGGGTGGGGGGTAATAGGAGTCTATATAAGAAAAAGACCCAAAAATCAGGACTGTCCCTAAAAAATCGGGACATCTGGTCACCCTACTTGGCCCTGGTGTGAGTGGCTGTGCGCAGCGTGGGGCAAATGGCGAATCGGATCAGGCTGTGTACAGAAGACACAGGAGATGGGATCTGTGAAGTGGCACACAGACGGACCACGGAGAGTTGCCTGGGGCAGCAAAACGCATGGTCACTCAGGCTGGGAGGCAGAGGCCAGTAAAGGCAGTGTGGTCTAGTGGTGAGGGAGGTGGTCTAGGAGACCTGGGGTGCTATTGCTGGTTTTGCTGGGTGGCCTTGGGCAAATCATTTCTCCATCCCCTCCGGTGAGGTTATCAGCTCTTTGAGGCAGAACCTTTTACTAGGCATGGAACAACACCTAGCGCCATGGGGCCGCAAGATCAGCTGGGGCCTTTGGGTGCTAGTGTAATAATTGGCCCCTGGGAAGCCGGCATCAAAGGATGACGGGCCCCCCTATGACGCGAACCTGCCCATATTCCACACTGAGATCAGCCTGATGGATGCCATTTGATGCAGCCCCTCTCTAGCTGCCTTCCCGGGCAATCGCCATGGGGGCCGTGCGGTCAGGCACGGTGTGATCCCTCGCGTAAGGGGCACACGCGTGCCTATTCCCGGATGGAGGGGCAACCCTGCCAGCCCTGAGCTGCAGCTCTCACGGCTTCGCCAGGCCTCTCGCGACAGCAGCTGGTTTTCCTTAAAGCGCCAGCTCCCGGCATCAGGGGATGATGGGAGAATCTCAGCTTTCATTCTTTCTTCTGCTTTTTAATTATTATTTTTTAAGTACCTTTCTCGCCCCGCCGGTTGCAGCTAGAAGCTGGAAAACGCAAAGCCCACATTTGCTATTGAAAAAGAAATCGCCTCCAGGGAGAGAAAAGCGGGGAGAGGTGAGGGGGGAAATGTTCATTTCTGGTTTTTTCTTTGCGGGTTTTTGACTTCCCTGATTCAATGAACCTCCTTAGTGTCAGTCTGTTTTTAATCAGCTTCGCTTTCTCCTGAACTCGCAGAATGCTGGCGATCTGTCAGGTTTCCAGCACTGCAAGAGAATTGTATAAAAACCCTTGTGGTTTTTGAGCCAATCTAGTGATTTAGGCAGAGGGGCCTGGACTCAAGATTTTCAGTGACTCCTACCTGTCAGTAATAGAACAGGCCTACAGGTCACTAATCCACCCAGGCATTCCCTGGCCAGTAAAACATCGTCCCTTCCTGACTAGGATCAGCTGGGGGATTTTAACCTTAATTGAGAAGGACTGATTCTTCAGCGGGTTTCCGCTCTAAAACCCCATCCGCCGGTGATCGGGGGTCAATCTATCCGCCGACTGGAATGCCGCAGCAGCGTAACAGCTGACTCTTGGAAACGCAGGCCTGAACTGAGTGCAAATGTCTAGACTTTTTTAAGGACATCTGCTCTCAGATTAATTTCCCTGTGTGGTTAGGAATACCAGACTTGCCAGGAGGTGAACAGACTATTGATCTATTGATCCTGGTTTTTGCCAGACCGGAACAAATGTCTAAGCTATCCAGTCTGTGGGTCACCTGCCTGTCGTGGCCTCAGAGACTTATGCTCCAGCCCTGTCCTGCTGGAATAGACCAATAACCCGTTCATATTTCTCCACCTACAGCCAATGCTGGATGACCCAATCTAATTATATGCCTCGCTGTGCAGTTCAGTACAAAGGGAGTGAATGCCAGATTCCACCCGGACCCCAGCTAGCACTTCCATGTGGATTTTCCCGCACCAGAGTGAGCGTGGAAAATCAGAACAAGGAAACACCCCCACCCATCATTGCCCTCTTGTGCTGCTGTGGGTGGTGGCTTTTTCTAACGACTACTCTTCTATGCACCCCAACTCCTGGTTCTCCTGTGCAGCGTTGCGGTGAAGTCAGACCCCCCCCCCCCCAGTGCTTGTGACATCACAACCTACTGCCCCGGCAACGGCTGATGTCACAAGTCCAGCACAATGACTTTGCTGCAGGCACCCCACATTGCAAACCTCCGATTTCAAGGAGAGCCACATAGCAAAGAGGAAACCAGAGCTAAGCCCCGGATTCCTGTGTGGACTGAGGCCCCTGAGAAAACATTCAGCAGTGCAAAGTGGGCGTAAGATGCTCCCAGATCAGAACGGCAGTGGGCTGCATTCACTGAGCATCATCCTAAACAACTGAGCAAGATGCAGGACAAATAGAGAATGCCCAAGCCATGGTATTATCTGTTATGGATCCTCTTCTCACAGCTGGGGCACAAAGCGTTTTCCTGACCCATGAAAATTTTTGCGCTATCAACAAAAAATCTCCCACCCTGAATCAGGATGTAAAATTGAAATCTCAAAAATTTTCGCAAATCAAAAATATGGGGGGGAAAAATTGGGTCAGGTCGATTTGAAACATTTTGCTTTGATCACTTTGAAACGTTTTATTTCAATGTCAACCTTTTGATTAAAACACCCCATTTTTTTAGTCTAAATTTACCAACATTTCAAAACAAACAATTGTTTAGTCTCGGGAAACGGACTCTTTTTTGGTTTTGCAAATGTCAGAAATGAAACGTTTTGACCATCTCATAACTTTCTTTCCCCAGTAATTGTTCGAGTTGGGCGGTTCATCGAAACAGACCCCGTTTTGAGAACAATTTGGGTTTGGGTGAATTTTCAGCCAAAAAATTGCGTGTCTCAAAATTCCGCCTGAAGAATGTTAATTAAACCAGAAACTACCAAGAGCCAGATTTTCAAACACACTCAGCGACCAGCAGCGCCTATTGAGAATTATAATTCAGTAGTTTCCATAGAGAACAATGCAAGCTACGGGGTGCTCAGCGCAGTCTTGGAAATCTAGCCCCTTTGTTGGTGTTTAGGTGCCTACATGACAGCTGCTGGATGTTAAATTCTTCTGAAAATCTGGAGGAAGGATTGAGAGAAATGAACTAAATCTGATTTCACTGTTGGATGCCGCTCATGGCCTGATCCATGGAGATGGGACTCTGAACACACAAATCAGGGTTTAACTTTTTAAAAAAAATTTTTTTGCTTTGAAGTTCACCTTCAGAAAGACCTTTCGAACCTCCTGTGTTCAAAAACCATGAGTCAGATCCCGCCCCCCCCCCATGCGCGAGTGGCTTTAAAATGATAAAAAAAAAAATTAAAGAGAATTCATTTGGGTTTCTTTGCATTCACCATCTGTGCTTTTGTTTTTGTATTTTGGGGCTTTTTACCCTTAGGGGTCATGGTTTTCAAGCTTTTTTTCTGCTACGACAAAAGAAAAGCACAGAAAGAATGAAGCTAAGAGTCTCACATAGTCACATGAGTCCAGGAGCTGAGGCTTTAAGAAAACTAGCAAACATCATGAGATTCACGATAAAATCATGAGCGTTGGCAATACCGCACTGTCAATTTAGTTCCGACCTTCCCAAATTAGGTTTTTGTTTTAAAAAGGAAGCGTTTTAACAGAACCCGATATTAATGGAAACATTTCATGCCTTTTTTTTATGCAATTCTCTTGTGATGTTGAAAACCCTAAAGAGCACCAGCATTTTGCTCTAGCAGGCGAAAGTGAAACTGACAACAACAACAAAAAAGCAGAACGTGAAACAAACGAGGTGAAGGTCACCAGCCAAGTAAAATCCTGACACTGAAAACAGAAATGAACATTTGTTCCGCCTTCCCTGCCGCCCCCACCCCTTCTCTCCCTGGAGGCGAAGGGACAGAGGAAACACCCCTCAAAACCAAAAGGCTTTGGCTCCCATTGAGAAAATGTCAAACGAGGTGGAAAATTGAGGCCGAAAGCCACAATGAAAGATTTGTAACCAGCCCTAAGGATGGGGAGGAGGCAACTACAAACAGACCTTCCCCGTCCCCCAACACAACTCACCTGGAATGCACAAGGCCACGGCTGTCAAAGACACCAGTCACCTGCTCTAGCCCCGCCCCTGCCCCTTGGTGCGAACAAGGGGAGGGGCTTGAGACAGGAATCACCAATGGGGGGGAGAGATCTGCCCCAGCCCCGCCCCTGAGCGCCACTCACCTGGCGTGAACAGAGCGATGGCCTTGAGGCAGGAGTACTCCGCCGAGTCGACGTGCAGGGCCTTGAGCTTCTCCACCTGCTCCTGGAAGACCCGGATGTGGTCCATGAAGGCCACCACCCGGTCGGCCGACATGGGCGAGGCGTGGAGGCCGGCAGCCGCCAGCAGCGGGGCCACATGCAGCGGCATGGAGCACTGGGCGGCGTTGAGCACGAAGAGCTCGCTCCAGGTCATGCGCAGCAGGGACACCTGGTCGGAGAGCTGGAAGTCGGGGAAGAAGGGGATGTTCTTGGCCCACTCGATGGCGCTGAAGAGCAGGCGGGCAGCCAGCTCGCAGATGTTCTCGATGCCCATGATGTTGGACTGCAGGCACTGGGCCCCGTAGCGGGAGGTTGGATAGGGCTCGGCCCGCAGCAGCAGGGAGATGAAGCCGGTCAGGTAGGAGTGGCCGTTGTACGGGTCTCCGTTGTTCAGCAGGTACTGGCCCGGGCTGGTCTGCGTGTGGGCCATGCGTCCCCGTTGCACGGCTGCGGTGAGTGGGAGAGAAGAGAAGAGACAGGATCACCATAAGAACAGCTGCAGGGAAAGCCGGGGGCTAGCAGAGGTGCTCTGGCTCTGTCGGTAACCGCCTGGCCTGAGACTCGGGTAACTTGGTTCTAATCCCAGTCCTGCCCTTGATCTGAGCCAGATCATCTTCCCGTCTCCGGGGACTTGCAAGACACCCAGGCTGCAATGACGCCCCATCAAAGCTTGCGATTAGAATTGGGCCTTGTGACTGCAAATTGCTTCTCCGCTCTGTGCCTCTGTTTTCCTCACCCACCCTTTGACCACCTGGCCTATTTGGATCGGAAGCTCTTTGGGGGCAGAAGCGTCTAGCTGAGATTCTGAGCTTGGCCGGGGCCTCTACTCTAATCTCAAGAAAGAAAGAAAGACTCACTGGGTTGCAGGGGAATTAAATGGGCTTGAACAAAGAGCGACTGGGGGAGGGGGCCGAGATGCAGATGACACTTAGGGCAGGGCTGGCTGGAAAGCAAGGCGAGGGACTCAGACCTTGGTCTCCCACATCTCCGATGAGCTTCCTCCCCACCTGGCTACCTGGGGTGGGGCACTCTCTTGGAATTTTCCGTATTTATTCCCCCATCCCAAAAAATAAATAATCAGAAAATGGGAGGCGGGGCAAAAGAACAGCAAGGTAAAGGACTGGGTGGTGAGGGGGAGGGGGCAGGGAGAGGGAAGGCGAGTGACATCTTGGTTTCCATTTACGAGGGATCAACCAAAGCTTCCGAAAAAGTCAGACAAAATCTTCTCCGCTTTGTCCGAGGTCTCTTTTCACCAGCATGTTCCCCGCTTTTTGGCTGCGGGGTCGGCCGAGTCGCAGCGCCAAGCATCTGTCCCTAGAGGCGGTGGGCTTTTCCTCCCTCGGCATTTCCCGATGAGAATCGTTTGGTCGGGAAGTTCCCAACCAGCTCTGGTTTAGGATTCGGGTCTGAGGCTGAACTGGGAGTTGGGTTCAGTGGGGAAGCTTGTGAGATTTGGGCCCAAGCTGCCAAGGGCAGGTAATAATGAGGTGGCTGAAACCCTGTATAATCAGAGGCCTGTTCCTACAACCTTTGCAATGTCTCAGGCGTACGTGTCGTGAGATTTCAGCGACCTCTGGATCCTCTGTGCCCTGAGGGGTGAGATTTAATCACCCTGGCACAGGTACAACACGTCTTTCTGAAACAGGCCAGGCCTCCGACCAAAAGCGAACAGGGTCAGGGAGGAATCAACCCATTAAAAGGAACTAATCAATCATATGAGTCTAGAGGGAGAAAAGAAAAGAAGGTCACAAAGATGGTAAGAACCACAGTGGGGGGGGGGAAATCTGATTGCTGAGGTGGGTAGATTTATACCTGGTTTAGATGGTGTTAAATTTATAAGGGCTATAAACTCTCCTGCTTCAGGGCGTGAGCTAGCCACTCCCTGATGAGGTCAGGAAGGAACTTCCTCCAGGAGTAGGTTATTCCACCGGTGTCCACTAGGGGGTGTCCTCTGAGGCATCTAGCCCCAGACGCTTTCGGAGACAGGTTACCAGACCAGAGGGACTCTGGATTCCTGTGTTTAAGGCCTGAGTTTTTTCAAGAGTGCTGAGCACGCACAGTCCCTGCCGAGGCCTCTGGGACCGGCAGGTGCTGTTGCCGTAAACGTGGCCGTTGATCTTTATTGCCCAAGCTCTGAGTTCAGGGCACCACCGCAGTCTAGCATTCCCTGCTGCCGCCCCTAGGAAAATGAGAAAGGCCGAGTCTGTTCACAGCAGTGTACCTCTGTGGGCTTCCCTGGAGTCGCTCCAGATTGACACCGGCCTGGGGGGAAAGCCGGGTCCAGACTGGGGTGTTAATTAGAAAAGCAAAAAGCAAATCTTGTCTGATTAGGAACACAGGCGTTGCCAGACTGCGTCAGACCCGAGGTCCATCTAGCCCAGTGGCCTGTCTCCCGCAGCGCCCAGCGCCAGCTGCTTTAGAGGAAGGTGTAGAACCCTATAGAAAATCTGCCCCCAGGAAGGTCTCATCCTGATTCTTAATAGTTAGAGCTTCATTTGAACCTTGAAGCCTGGGGTTTAATTATTATTATTATCATCCCTAGCTGTTATACAGTACTTTTCATCCATAGGTCTCAAAGCACTTCACAAAGGAGGGTCAATATCATCATTCCCATTTTACAGATGGGGAAACTGAGGCACCGAGCAAAGCAGTGACATGCCCACCGTCACCCACCCAGGCCAGTTTCAGAGCTAGGAACAGAACCCAGTACTGCTGAGGGCCCCGTCTTCCATATACTCAGCCACACTGCCTTCTAGATGGTTTGCTAGCAATAAACATTTCAAACTCGGATTCTCCGCTGCCCTGCACCTTGTGCTGTCATTGCCACTGGTTCAAAGTGCTACCACACCAGAATGGCAGAGTTTCACACCGGCGTTGCACTAGCGTAAATGACTGCACAAGGTGTGGGGCAAATGGAGAACCAGGCTCCTTCTACGGGAGAAAAAAAAATCTTTTGTTGACTAAGCCCTGAGATGATTCAGACTGAAAGAACTTTTAAAATTAAATTTACTTTTCACCATTGATCCTGTTTTATTTGCTGGCATTTCTCCCAGCTCTCACAGAAACATTATACCGTGGGGGGGGGGGGAAATCTGGCTATGGAACAAACTCCCTGGGGAAATCAGTCAAATCCAGAGGTTGACTGTCTTAGCGCTTCCTCTTCACACTTGCAACACTGCCACCCCCTCTACCCTTGAACCCCAACACAGACTTCCCATCTACCCCCTAATACTGACACCCAGTCTGTCCCTGACTCCCAATGCAGACACTCCATCTACCCCTGACCCAACAATGACACCCTGTCTGCACCCAAACACCTACAAACCAAAACAAAAAGAGGAAATTTAATAAATCTAAAAAAAACCAACCCCTAAAAGCACCCTGCCCCAAGCAGAGTTTTGACCCCTAAAAGGGAAAAGTGCCAGAGACGCCATGAAATCCACTAGGGATTTTGATCTTGCTCTAGATTTTAAATGGAATGTGCCCAGATGTTGCGATGATGAGTGGCAGTGTAAAACCCTGAGCTAGATAGAGTGACACTGGTCAATTTCACTTGTTTGTTACTAGTCGGTTTCACTCTCAAATGCCCCTGCAGTAGCCCAAGGATCTTGGCTTTGAGATTCCAGCTAGAGCTGTGTATGACAGGTCTTTTGGTTTGCTGGCAGGTCTGAAAAGTTGGGGGGAGGGAATTGTTTTCGGTGGACATGCAAATGAAATTTTTCAGCATTTTCAGAAAATCGGAAAAAAATATTATCAGGTTGAACAAAACGTTTCGTTTGACCCGAACCAAAACGTTTCCTTTCGACTTCCACCTTTTTAAAAATGATTTTGCCTTTTTAAGTAAAAATCTGAAAAATGGAAACGTTACGTTACCAAAATGTCAAAACATGAAACAACAAATGTTCACCATTTTGTTTTAACCAAAACAATTCAACGCAATCGACATAAACCCGTGAATCGGTCGACCAAAATCTGCCCTGGGCAGTCAAAAAATGTTTCAGAGGCATAGTCTCACCCAACTCTATTTCCAGCACTGCAAGCGAAGGGTCAGAATTAAAAACCTGTTTGGGCTGAAATGAAAACCCAGCCAGTGCTCTGAGTGTGTAAGCAGATCAAAGTTTTGTAAATCTTTCCCCCTCGTCTCCTATATGCTGGGCCTGTTCCCTGTTTAGAGCTGCTTCTGAATCACAGTTTAGGTGGGGAAACGGGGGGGGGGGGGGCACTGTTAAGAAATGGAAGAGACACAGGAACCCAAGGGCAGAGCCTGTGACATTAAGTGTATTGCGTTCCATGGAGCTACAAAATTTGGATTTGGGCCCAATGCAGGATTCAGCTCATTTTCGGGGGCTTCTGTTATTTGCTTTGCATCTTAAACCCGCAATCAGCGGTTGTTGGCTAGGACCAGAGACAGGAAGTCCTGACTCTCCAGTACCCTGCACCCTGTGCAGATGTTTACATCAGTGCATGCAAAGTGGGGTAAAAAGCTGCTGTTCTGATTTAGTAGCTCCTTTGCGCCAGTGACGCTGACCACACGGGACACAGGGCTAAGGAGAACCAGGTTCAAGAGATTCTGTGCTTGGTATTGGTAAAGAATCCAGGAGGCTCCCGCAGGTAGCAAACCCAGGTTCAGCGCCACTTCCGGAGCCAGACTCCGATCTCAGTAACGCCAGGGTAAATGGGGAGTGAGTCCATTGAAGTCAGTGGCGTCTCTGCTTTGTAAAACTGGGGTAAACAGGATCAGAATCAGGCCCTTTTTGTTCCCCTTGAATTCGGACTCTAAAATGGGACCTTCCCTCCCAGACAAAGACGAAACCGACTAAAATAAAATGACCTGCCAGTCGGGAGGGGGTGTAAGGTTCTGCAATGGAGGGGTGGGGGAGGCTGATCCTGGGAACACTTACTCTTGGGAGTGAGGGCTTTGCAGGATCAGGTTCTGAGTCCCCGTTTCCCTTGCAGCCCAAAGGTGCTTCCCATTGGTGGAATGAGTTTGCCGGGTCTCAGGCTCTAACCTGCCTCCCTGGCAGCCCCAGCAGGGAGGCCCAGGGCTGCCTGGGCCTTGGAGGCTGAACCCCCCTCTCACCCCAGAGGCAGGGTCAAGGCCTTGTACGCGGGAAGCTCACCCTGCCGCTTCCCCAGCTGTGCAGAGAGAGGACTTGGGGCTCCTGGGGCTTGTCAATTGGCGCTAGCATTGGCCGTCATCTCAGGGCCAATCGCCCCGAGGACACATCCGGGTGGGGGGGGGGAGAGCAGGGTCTCCCGTGCTATGAGAGGATGAACATCGATCCCAGCTGGGCAGCCCGGAGGCATCTGAGCGCCCCACCCAACGCAGTCCGTGGGGACACCATGAGGCAGAACATGGCATATAGAGAGTATTTAACGCGAGGCGTTAGCCGCTGCTCTCCTCGCTGGATGGCGCAGTTCTAAAGCCAGGCGTCTTCTGCCTAAGT